TTATCTGAGCATCTTCTATTGTCTGACTTTCCATTCCAAGGGCAGTCGTACATGCTGCATTTTTTGTAAAGAGATAAGCGTCAGATGCAGATAGTATCCAAACTTTACACGACACTTTTATTCAATTTTTCTTTCAATAATTGCTTCTGATAAACTATTGTAGTCACCAAAAGGAGTGGTTCATTTCAGTCAAGATTATTTCAATAGAATACCAAAATTATATCCCACGCAGTTATCTCACTGTACATACTATTTTTCTCAAAACTCTCTAATTTATGATGAACGAGAAATGATGTCGCGACGCTAAGATTCTTTTCACTTGCTGGTATATGCCCGTGGCTGAAAGACTGTCTTTAAATTTGACAGCAGATTTTAAAGTCCTATTACGCTTCTCGGTCAATCTAGTTAATTGTTTTCTGACGTTTTTTTGGTCAGTGGATTCTAAAATCTAGATCAATAATCGCCACACCTGGACAGCCAAAGATCTCTGTTCTCATGGAAATATTATTGTGCCAACTGATTGGTATAAACCGTATAAACCTTGCTGTGGTTGGAGGATTCAGATTGTTATACACAATGGTATCACTTCCTTTATTCCCATTCAGCTCCTGTAAATTGTAAGCGGCATGGATTAAGTTTATTTCTGGAAGGGCCCTCGAAAGTGACAAACACTGCCCTCAAAAGGCCCTTACCTTTCATTTGTAATCAGAGTCAAACTATGTGTCAAAGTAAAATTTCAAGAAAATAAAAAAAATATACGGATGTTTCAAAATTATTGCATTTTTTGCAAACAGTATGGATTGAAAGAGTTGTCCCCTATCTCGCCTTTGGATACTGCTCTTGTCCATCACACGCATGTGACATCTAACTGAGACATACCGTCCACTCGTTGTCACCCTGTTGCTTGTAATTCTGGAAGTTTTTTCCATCGTCACTAAATTGTAACTTGTATTTGGTCACCCATTCGTCTTTGGCATTCAACCCTTGAGTCGCCACACGCGTCACTCTAGTATAACTGCCAAGATCGACCTGTAACCATGGGTTTTCGTCGTTTGGCTGAGCCGACCATCCCCCAGCCTTATTTTCTACTTCTTTAAAATTCAACCTGGCCTGACTTGGAGAATGGTTGTCATCCATTCGCGAAGAAGAACTGACCTGGACATCAGTGATCATTCCATCCTCCATACCAAGCGGTTCAAAGCATGCTGGGTTTTTTTCAAAAAAGGGCAAAAATTAAGAGAAAAGAAGAAGAAGTAAAATGAAGAAGAAAAAGAGAAAGAGTGAGAGGAAGAAGAAAAAGCGAATGGGGTGCTCTATCTATTTGCTGGAATGAGCTAACCAATCTTTGATTTGCCGCACAGGCAATCTAGGATCACTATCAATAATCAATTTAAACCTGCTTTGATAGGAAATTAATTAAAGATGTGGTCTGCCAGAGCTGCCTGTGATGCATTGGCTAATTTATATATTTGTTCTACACCGCGATGTACCTGCGCAGCCATAGATTTCCACCCTCATAGAGATGTGATTTCGCCATTCCACCGGAATGAACCGGATGTAACGTGCCGTAATTTGCCTTGCCAATTTGTGGTACACAGTGCTGTCTCGGTCTTGATTACCACTAAATACCTGAAAAGAATATCATCATCTCTCATTCTTTGGACACATTGTGACAAGTCGATTTATGCTGACTTCTGGAAACTTACTAAAGAGTTGAGGAGAAGTCTTTTATAACCGGATTGATTCTTCAGTAGATGAGTGAAGTTTAACTTGTAACGAATCTGGATTTGTTCTTTTATCGAAGGTGGCTAAGAAGGAAATTTAATTTTGATGGAAAACCTCAAAGAATATCCCGCCTGAATTTTTCCTATCAAATCTCCTCGCCTTTGAAACCTTTAATTTAGTCGGATCGTC